ATTTGTTCGATAAGAAATCTTTAACAGTAAACTGTTGAAACGAACGATCTTCACATTCAAAAACTCTCAGACAATTTAGCGCCTGAATAATCTTCAGTAATAATCTCCAGTCACACTCCTTTTGAGTCTTTTGCCGATATTGAAGTTACTCCCCCTTGATCTTTACAACATATTCCCCTTATATTGTTCGGAATGAAATTATATCGTTCGTAATTGAACATTTCATTCATTATTACATACTCCCCCTTATGATGAAATGAGAATCATTAACATCATACAACTGAATGAATGAAATATTCCGCAAAAACCGTCAATTTATGAAATTGTAAATAGATCTTTTCAAATCAACTTGTATAATCTTTTCAGATTAAGGGAATGAGAAGGTAACAACCAAATTCAACGTATGAAATTGTTTTCAATCTTATGAAAATACTGGCCTATGAGTATAACAAATATACTCAATACAACAGATGTATTGTATATATGAGACTTTATGAGGTTCGTCTCACCAGGTCTTCCATTCAATCATCGATAGCTTAATAATAGAATATCTACGAATGTTTTGGCAAAATAACATATAATTTGCAAAATATGTGTAGTGTGGAAAGATAAAGCAACATATGTTTCTGTTTAGGCTCAAAAAGATAAATCGTGTGGACTACACAAATTTATCAAACTCAATTAGTGATCAAAAAGACTTGAAGGGGAGACATATATCCTTATGTTCAATATCAACTTTCTCCGAATAAAAAATTGATAGATTGTGAGCTGCGTGCCCCAAGTGTTATTAAAACACTTATCTGTTAATAGATAAATGAGTAGCTGGTGGGGTTGTGACAAGAATTGGCCTGGGCTTTGCCTTTTTCAATATTAGTCTCGAAAGAATTGAGAACTAATAGATTATGTGCTATGCCCAGTAATTTGAAGTTTGGAACAAGATTCTAATAATCTTTTAATCCTGACACAACTCTCGTCAATTCTTTTATCTCACAACAACTACCCCTCTCTTTTTTATTTTAAGCTCTGCACACAAACTCTTTTGATTTAAAGCTCACTCAGATATGGTTGTCCTCTTTGGTAGGTCTGTCGGTTCTGACATTCCATAGAGGTATTTCTGTTAAGCACTCAGTCCTTCCTAAATTTAGCATTATGCTCAATTGATCACAAACAGTTGATCAAAAATATTATTGCTATAAAGCACAATGATCAGATAAGAATTGATCAAGATATATGGCTTTTAAGCACAATCAATAAAGGAGTGATACGACAACGATCAGATTATTCGGTATGCGAGAGAAATAAAAGAAGATCTGTAAGTACGAGTTTACAGATTCTGAATATTCAAAGAATTATAGAAAGTATATCAATCAAAGTAAAATAAAATTCAGAAAACAAACTGTGATTACTAACGAGCGTATTATCACCGAAAATGATATTATTTTCGAGACGTGATAATAACAATTTCAAGAATAACTTAAACATGTATTGAAGTTATGATCGATGAGAAATTACGCAAGTAAAATCTCAGGAAATACCTGTTCAGAAAATATACTTGTTTCCTTAAAAAAATTTCACTTCCATTTTCCGAAAACATTTATTTAAAATTTCTAGAGACTCCCCCTAGAAAATAGATTTAAGAAATATTTCGGTTCAGCTCAATAAGAATAAAAAAATTGGAAACATTTTAAGCACGGGTCCTAAACTGAGTGTTTAGAAACCATACTCGGTAAAGCACGGGTCCTGAACTGTGTTGTTCAGAAGCCTTATTTGGACAATTTACAACTCCCCCTGAATTAGTGCATCATTGGTACCCAAATGAACTTGAGTCATTTGTTAGTATCAGGTTGTGGAATATTGTAAATGCCAAACCATCTATTTTTATTTGATATTATCATTTTAGCACTTTTAATAGGATGATCAGATACGTTATAATATCCATACAAGTTATTGTAATCAAACTTGTTATTACCTTTCCAATTCGTCTGAAATCTGTTATCAGCAAGTCCACCTGTTGTACCTCTTCCTATTCACAAAATCTGTTGTTTTGCATGTGGAGAACATGATTATTCTCTTATTAAGATTAATCAGATCAGTAGTAGATCTCATAAAACAAGGAAGATTATTGTTAGTAACAATAGGGGTATGAGATGAAACAGATTCAAATTTATTTACCCAAATGCTTTTAACTTTTGAATGAGTATTGGGTGATCCGATAACAAACCCTTGATAGTACTGACTTGAAGAACGAGAATAGTTCTTAGAAACAGTGATTTAGGGTTGCTTGAATAACTGTTAGATTTGGAACAGTCATAAAAGCTGGTTTTACACTGTGAAGGAGAACCAGTTGAGCTTTGAGCACAAGAAAAGTCTTTGACTTTCGTAAAAGTTGGTCTCGTTCATCAGCAACTAAATCACACTTATTTTTGAGTTCAGTTCTCATCTTCAATTCAGTTTCAAGTTCTGTTTTCAGATCAGACAATTTTCTTGAAGTATCCAAGAGTTTACCTGCTAACTCCTTCTTCATCATCTCAATTTTTTCTTCTGATTATCAAACTCTCTTCTCTCTTCATCTGAGCTGCTCCTCTCATTCTTAGAAGCGATGTCGAGCCATTTTTTCTTTTCAGCAAGCTCTTTAGCAATAGTTGCATATTTTTTTGCAGTATTTTGCTTTTCAAGCGTAAATTGCTTCTTTTCTTCATCTAAAATCTTCTGCTTTAGAGCAATGCTTTCAGACAGTTTCTGAGTTTGGCTCAAACATTCTTCATTGATGTCATTCTTCTCTTTATTTATCTTGGCTCGTTCCAAGATAATCAGCTGCTCAAAATCTGAGATTTGCTTTAACAACATTTGGCATTCAGCTCGAGAGAGTTTATCTTATTTTCATAAGATACACGTTCAACACCAAATTTTTTCTCTTCTTCAAAAAATCTCTTCTTCTCTTTCTCAAACTCTATTCTCTCAAAATTCAAACTCTTCTCAGTCTCTTGAACTTTTTCCTTCTCTAAATTCAATAATCTCTTTAATTCACTCAAATCAGTCTCAATCTCAATATGATTCCTTGGAGATGTTTTCTCAGCATTAAGTTGACTCTGGACTTTTTGGAGTTTGACAAATATATCTTTGTTAGATTTACTCCAAGTTTTCAATTCTACTTCACACTCTTTCCTTACTGTGTCCAAAGCTTTCTCTAGTTCATTGACCTTTACTGATACATCTTCTTCAGTGTATTCTCTCAGCGCTTTATTTTCTTTTTGCAGATCTTTAATAAATTCCTTATCTACAAAATTTTCATTAAACATATTAATATATTTAACTTTGTAGTCCTCTACTCTTTTTTCCAACTCAGAAATTTTAATTCTCAAATTCACATTCTCCTTCTCAAATGATACTGCCATTTTCAAAAACAGATTGATCACAGGATCTAATGCGGTGCAATCAAATAAAAGAGATCAAAAACGATTTAAGCTCAAAAACAAATCCAAAAAAACACAAAACTGTTGAGAAAACAGTAAAACAACGAAAACTGTCAAAAATCAGTAAAAACAGTAAAAAACTGTTGAAAACAGTTAAAAACTGTTAAAACAGTTAAAACTGATTAAAAGCAGTTTATGCAACGCAAAACAGTTAAAAAAATTCTCAAAACAGTTCAAACACAGAGAAAAACAGATAAAAATAGATTTAAAACACAACACACAACACTTGAAACTTTTGGACCACACAAAAAAAAATCACAATTACAAAACACTTAAAAAGCAAAAAAAATAGCAACGAAAACTTAATTTTTTTAAGACAATTGGGCCTAAAAATGGACTTAAAAATATACAAGATGGGCTTAAAAAAATGGATTAAAAAGCCCAAACCAAAATCTGTTTTTGAGCAATGTACGAAGAATCTGGATGCAACAAAATAAAGTCTTTGAGCGATTAACGCAAAGTACGATTAGCTTGATGAACGATTTTCCTCGCGTCTACCTAAACCAGATGAAAAGATTAACAACTCAAGTCTTCGTGTAAGGTAGACTAATACGGACAGAGATTATGCGATAAACATGTAAGCTTGAGTGATGAAACTGTCTACTGTCTATCACAACACTAGCATCCAACAAATTCAAGATGATACCAACTAAAGGTGCCAAAATTATTCCTCTGTTGACCTTCTTAGGAGTCTGACCAAGTCTTCTAAGTGTGAATCCAAAGAATTCCGAATCAGCAACTGAAGTCAAATGGTTTAGAACAAAGTCAACCAACTCTACACAACAAGAAGGTAGAAAAGCCCTATAACAAAATATATGTTGTAAGTAGAATGAAAGGTTACAATTTTGCCTTTAGATATCTTCACAAAGCCTGGTTCAGGGTAACATGTGAACATCCCTACAATGTAACCAGCTTCATCTCCTAAATCATTTCCTTTCCCATAACAAATAACCCATCCATCCTCTCCATATAGCACAAAACCTATTCCACCACTCACTACAACAAAAAGGGGTTTATAGGACACTTTTTTGGGACACTTTTCAAGACGCGTCCTTTAAAAGGGCTAAAACGACACATTATTTTATGAGTCCTATTTGATTTAGTTTAATAGGACTCTTATTTTTGATGTATTATTAAGCTCTTTTAGTGTCCTATCATGTAAGTCTAATACGACACTTTTCAATGTCATATGATTTTACAGTTTAATAGGACACTTTTTAAGTGTCATATTATTTTAAAGTGTTGTGTTGTTTTTAAAAGTTAATAGGACACTTTTGATTGTTGTATTAGTGTTTAAAAGTTAATAAGACTCTTTTAAGTGTCCTATTAAACTTTAAAATTATGTGAAAAACATTAGCATATATATTTATTTAATTTAAAGTTAATAGGAATTTTTCTTAATTTAGTTTTAAAAAGGCCCAAATCAGATGAATTATTAATTAGAATTTAGAAGTACAGTGAAAAAGCCTTTTTATTTGAAAAGCCCAACATCCAAAACATCCAAAAGAAACCTTATCATTGTTTCGCACAGAAAACACAAACTACTTCAAGATTCAACAAATTCCGGTCATCGTCTTCTTTGTGTAGTAGCGGAGGAGTATTACCCGATCATGGCGGCTGAAAGCTCTAAATCTTCAACATCGTCAGCAGATCCGTACATTGGAAGCTTGATTAGTTTGAATTCTAAGAGCAAGATACGATACGACATGAGGGCATTTTGTACAACATCAACACCGAAGAATCATCCATTGGATTGCGCAACGGTAACCAATTTGATACGATCTTTTTTTTTGAAATGTTTTATCCCGATTTCCGGCTTTTCGTTGTATTTAGGTCAAGGTTCTAAGAATCGCAAAGAAGTTGAATAATTAATTATGAAGCTTTGTTTGCGATCGACTACTTGATCGACTCTTCCCTCTCCCTCACTGTTTGCGATCGATCGACGACGAACCTTCTGCCCATAGGTAACATTTTCATTGACTACAATAGATGAATTCAAACCTTCTGCTCCTGAGTCTAATCTTATATCAATATGTTACATCAGTGTCTAATGTTCCTGCTTGATAATCGTTTCTGGCTATGTCTCTTCTGTTAGAGTATTCGATTGACAAATTATTGCTGTTAATTTTTCTTACTTGAACAATAGTTTGCAGACAAAATATTGTATTATCATACCTCAGTTAATCATCTTGATGTTCTGGCCTTCAAAATTAACTAATAGTATTATTTGGCCTCCTACCCTAATCTTATATCAGATTTTATGGAATTAGCTAGACCCTAAACAAGCTGCAATTACTCAGTACGGACCAGGACAAAACACATAGAAGCCTGCTAAGATGTGGTCCTGTATAGCAGTCCCTGTTAATAATGGTCTTTTATGAAATTACCTGTATCTACATTTTTCCTATAGTTCCTTGTCCCATGGCTTCAAGCACTCTCAAAATGATTACTTTATCGAATGGGAAATTGCTGAAAAGTACAGACAAATTTTGAAAACTTGTGGCTTGATTAAGGTGAGGTTGTTGCCTTAATTGATTTGTTTAATATACAAAGTAAGCATGTTTGTAGTGTTTCTTTATAGTTCCGGTTTCAGTAAGATAAAATCATTATCTGGGAAAATCTATCAGCAACTATATGCCTGTTACCATCATTCACCAAGCTCATCACATTGGCCTTATATACGTATAATCTTATTCCAGCCTTTTGAGTTTCTTTTGAGTTTTGATCAACTGATAATAGCTTAATTAGCGAATAACACAATTAGGGGTCTTATCATGAACAACTTTTGAGTAATATGGTGTTGGTGGATGATTATAAAGTTGCTACTGTTGTTGATAATTGTAATATGGATATGGTTGCTGCTGCTGTTGATAATTGTAATATGGGTCTACTGATACAATATCTGTATGACAAACCTTAATCATAACCACACTTACTTGTCTTCTTTCTCTCTTCCAAGTATCACACTGCCATCAATTCTGCATACTTCCATACCCTTCTCACTAAAATAGAAGTGCATTATATCCAAGATCTTAGTCCACTGGGAAAAAATAAGAACCTATTTGCCAAAATATAAGTGCAAGGAGCAAGAAAGCACACATAGACGGTATTGAAACCTGGCCACAATATCAAAACCATGTAGTGCACAAAATCAGATTATTTCTATGGCACAGGTACGACAACACTACTATAGTATATGCACTTTAGATTTCTTTTGGTGTATGGTTCTAATGATTTTCGGGGTTTCTCCCACTACTGTTTTCTCTACATAGCTGCATCTTTTTTTTGTTATTAAAGCATGTTAGGAATTGTTACAATAAACTGGTTTTCACATTTTATTGAATGAACATTATGCTCTAAGTTTACATGTATATAAGGGGAGGCCTAGGTCTACATACAGGTCTTGGATCAATAGAATCCTCCAATGCGCATCTTTGGTCACACTTGTATTAACCTTATTTTGTTAAACATATAAACATAAAGAAACAATCGCACAAATCTGTCCAATAGTTTCGCATCAGCACACTGCTGTCCACTTCAACGATGCATATGACCCCTCTACTGTTCGAATCTTTGAATTATCAAAACATGAAACTTCTTAATCCATCTGTTTTCTATCCAAGGTCTTTTGAATCGCCTCAATTGGTGCCTTGATGAGTGAGATATGATCAATTTATTACAGCTTCATAAATCTGTCAGTATGTTGATGAATTAGGAATAAAAAGACAGAAAATTAGTTTTTAACTATAGAATTCCTATTGAACTTATTTTATTTCTATTTATGGTGTTATTAACATGGTTTTAATGTTCGAGTTCAATTGTTATTGCGTGTTAGTAACACCATAAATAGAAAGAAAACAGTTGACAGTTTCCAGCTTATGCCATCAAGTAAGGCTTGATCACGAATATTGCAATGATCTATGGCCCTCGACTTGAACGAACCATCATCGAATCCTCTACAGCCCTCACCGTTTGCCATCATCGAGTCCTCTACACTCTGCACGCTGAGAATCTCAAACTTAAAGCCCTCACTGTTTGCGTTATGTCATTGAAAAACTGACATTTTAAACTTTCTGTCCAGCTTTCATGTGTCAACTTCATCACTATTTTTGACTCTCAAGCAGATTCATTGAGACAAAACACAAAACATAAACATTGAACTCCAGCCTCTGAGCTTTTCATCAATCTCTGATTCATCCATTTTGGATGAAAATTGAGTGAGTTGTGCATGKTTTCTCACAGCTGCGCAAAACAGTCGTTAAAACAAACATTTGTCTTTGCAAACCTCGTTCACTAAACTTTGAAGCTTAGAGCTTGAAACTTTAAGATCAAATTAGGGAGTGACATATAATATATCAAAATCGTAGCTTGAATCTATGAAGAACAGACGAGAGAACACTGTTCTGAAATTAGGAAGAAAGGAGTAAAGTACGTAGCTTCTGTCCAGCACCCATCTACAGATTTTGACACAGAATAAGTCATATCTGCACATTGAATCTGAGAAAACTCAAAATCTCAAAGATGTAGATATATGTTTTATTTTTCAAATGCAACTGGAATCATGAATTTTGGAGGTTCGAGATGAAWGTTGTGCGCAAAAAGCTACAGCAGCGCAAAGCTGACAGCAAGCTTTTAAAAAATCGGTTGATTTATTTTGGAGATTTTAACTTTTCGTTATCTAGTTTGGAGTATATATAAAGAATTTGTTGGAGATGTTCTAATTAACTAGTCATGTTTGATCAACTAAATGATAATGTAAAACTAACCTAAAAAGCTCTAAATAGAACATATGTTGGATTTAGGTTATCGAACAAAATAGGTTGATTTAGGTTATTGAACAAAATAGGTTGATTTTATCTTGAAATCAACAACCCTTCTCTTTGGAAGCTTTATCTATACACAAAATCAACAGTTTCTTAACTACTGTTGTTGGTCTTGGTGTTACTTAGGTATATAACCTTCTATAGATGCTCATTTTACAAATGACCTATTCTTGTGGACATTTATTTTGGGATGGAAGGAGTATTTTTGTATATTACGGACTACGTTCATGTGTTTTCTAGGGTTTTYAGTTTTCTGGGTTTCCTCTCTACAATTCTTTATAGTAGAGAAGATACTGTTTTTAGTGATTCTAAGAGGCTGTGATGATGAATCTGAATGCATCTAAATGGATTCGATCAAAGTTAAAGATTATTCGCATCTTGGCAGGGCATCCATTTGCAGCCATGGTGGATTTATCCTCTTTTTCGATTATTTACATATCTGAGCCTCACATGGCATGAAAATTGGTCACATTGGTATTTCTTTCTTCACTTTTTTCTTTTTAAAACAAGTGTTACACTATTTTGTTGGCATACTTGTAAAATTCTTGAGAGTTAGTGACTTCTGTCAAGAGAATGAGTTTCTGCCAATGGACATATCAAAGAAGAAAAAGCTTGAACAAGCCTTCGATTCGAGTGGATCAACATTTCGGTTGTGACAGAAGATAGGGTCTTGGTGCCTTTAAGGTATGCATGCAAACTCCTCCTTTCTGTTGCATTCCATTCCTAGGGTAAAGTAGTTCCTTAGCTAGTTAAACACTTCCGTAGTTGATCACTGGACATTCTTTTTCATTATGATTCATTTCCCTTTGATCCAACTTGGGGAATATGGAGTTCATGGGGTCAAGTTTAATCATTTATCTTACAAGATTATTATGGAACTTAATAAATTAATCTTTATAATCTTGTTCTTCAATCACGTTTTTGTAGGTTGGGATGTTGTTCATCATAAAGGAGGGAAAGTTTGGTTCGAGCATATGAATTGTTTATTACAATTGCAGACGCTATTGGAGCAACAATCGCATAGCCTCGTCCTCACTTTGGTATGTTAATCTTTTAACACTTGTAAGTTTTAGCAAGTGTAGAATTTTTTTATAACACAACTTCAGGCTCATATACTTGTTTTTTAATTGTAGATTGTGCATGACGAAGATTGATATCTCTCGTTTGTAGGACACAATAAGATTTTTTGTATTTGCATAATTCTTGTTCAGTACTTAGTTTTGTCATGATACAACTTTGTGGTGGATACATAGCTTGATAGTTGGTACTCATATAAGTATTTGTACAACTTCGAATTTTGTTTTATCAAATCAATTCGTAAAAAACTTTCATATATGCTTTTAAATGTAATATTACAAAAGGATTTTATAATTGGATGATGTGTCTCGCATTATAGTCATTTAGGACGCTTTTAGTGTTAATTATTATAGCCTATTAGGACATTTTTTTAGTATTACTTAGTTCATTTTATAGGACACCAAATTTTGTTTCATGATTATATAACTTATTAAGACACATATTTTGGTACTATATAATTGTTTTAACGACATTGAATTTCGTCCTATAAAAGCATTTTTTGGGACGCACATATTTGTTTTTAAATGTAAACATTTTGTGACAACATAAAGTGTCCTATATTATAGTCTATTAGGACACTTTTTAGTGTTACTTAAACCATTTTATAGGACTATGGAATTTGTATCATAATCCTAGAGTTTTTTAGGACACTCAAATTCATCTCATTAACCTAATACAACACCTTTAGATGAGACACACATATTTTTTGTCCTATAAACTTAAAAGTCCTATTAACTACCTTATTAGGACACTAATGAGGGTCCTATAAAGTCTTTTTTGTTGTAGTGACTTTCTCAGTTGCTCTTCAATCTCTATTAAAGTATTAGAAAGATCAGACTGAAACTGCGTCAAATTGGTCCAATGTATCCCGTAGCAATACAGACAAACCTTTGAGCTAAGTCCGAAGGAACCTAATCCGGACAGAAGAACATGTGATTTAAGCAAAGTTTGTATAACACAACCTTCAATTCACTTTGAAACACAGACAAGCTACCGATTTAGGATTGAGCGATTTAACAGAACCTCAAAATCAAACAGCCTTAGTAAGCGGTTTAGAATCAACTTGAAATCGGATTGTACAACTTCCTAAAAGTTGGAAGAGCCGCAGTTCGCATCCATACGATGAGGTCTTCCTGTTCATTTAATGGCAGAGACTCATTGAGACGTCCACCACCAATAAGGGATCCATTCTGGAAATTTTTCGGGAAGACGTCACTGCCAAACTTGTCCTCTTTGTCACTCTTCCATGAGATATGTCTCTTGTTTACTTGCAACTGCTGGTTGCTATCGGTGGAGAAGCTATAGGTGTCATTAAACAAACTCCAGGCTACAAAGCCACAAGGCACAATGGCCATCCCATTGACATCAACTTTAGGCATACAGTCACTTGTTTGATTCTCATAACCACGGTTTCTCAATTGCAAATCACTTCGGCTCTTGACATACCTGCAATGATTCTAGTAGAAATTATCCAGCTTATAATAGAAATAAATTGTATGGTTCAGAACTCTCGATTAAAACTAAGGTCAATCACAATTATCTCCCCCAACCAATTCAGAAGTCCATCAGATACCAATCACAAATTGAATCTCATCTTTAACAAAGACAAATTTTCCAGTCTCATGAAATTCCAGTCCAGACGAATGACTTTGCAAAATCAAGCAAATCGATATATGATTTAAAGAACCTGTGCGATGTAAAGAACCTATATGAATCCTTGAAACGAGCGATTTAAGAATCCAGAGAAAATGAGTGTGTAAACCTGTGCGATGTAACCAAAACCTTTGAGCGGATTATGCCTAAACTTGATTCGAGTGAGCTGTTAAGCGATAGGTAAACCGATTGAAGCTGAGCGATTTAGTAATCTGTTGAGCAAGAAGAGCAATTAAAATGTAAATCGCATGAAATGTTGAGCAATTTAGGGATAAATCGCCTGAAGCACATGTTCCAAATAAGAATGTACATCATATTTTGAATGGAAACAAAAGCTCAATAGCAATTGATGAGCACAATGAGAATTTGGAATCAATATATTCGGATTAGGAAGTCTTATACAAATGGATATCCCCGTGTCAAGTGAGATATGAAATCTGTACCTTAACAGGATTTGACAATTAACGCACGATCAAAAGTAAATTCACGATCAAGTTTGATTTGTCCGCGTGCCTAACGAATGCATAAACGGGTTACTATTTACAAAGCATAGAAACCATAACATAACTATTCTAATTAAATTACTTAGGTCTTAATGTACTTAAACAACATAGATTTCAAGAAGGACATTTGAGTACGAATTGAAAACTCAAACGTAAAACTTAGCCTTATTATCTTTCGATCCAACCGTTTCCATCCCTTTTTATTTCTAAGCATTTTTACCATACTTAAAGACTAATCCATATTATATTGTCTAAATGAAAGTTGTAGGTTGGTATCATACGAGTCTATTTCTTTTGAAATTATCTCATTTGGATCATCCATCTATTTTATATGAATTTTACAAAGCTGCAAATTAATCTCGAATACAGTGTAAAAAACCCTGAAAACACACTGTTTTGAGCTACTTAGATTCATAAATGGATTTTCGACCCTTCATGAAAGTTGTAGTATACAGTAAGGTCTTTCTAACTGCAAAATATGAGATTATTCTGATTTATGGTTTGTGAGTTATACATTGTCAAAGTATGGGAGTTGCATTGTCGGTAAAATTCGATTCCGCAATTCCCGACTTACTTTTATGCTCCAACTTCCATTATTCGCTACATTTACATGCTATAAATATACTAAACAGTAAAACAAGTCCAATAGTCGCTAACCTAAGTTTAATCATGCATTTTTACTCTTTTCGACATTTAACCGAATAATTGGTGTGCGGTTAAACATATACTCACAATCTAACCATATTGAAACTATAATATATTTTTTTAATTTCTTTATCAATTTAATCAACCCTAGCATTATAAACATGAAATATATCATAATTTTAACAACATTAATCCGTAAACTTAGACGTACACATAATTTATAAACCGGTCTCAAGAACCCTAACGTAAACACCCTAATAAAAATGAATGAAATATATACCTTTAAGAAGGGTTCGGAGAGTGGATTCCAAATATATATTTGTTACCTCGATTCCCTTAGTAACTTGACGTGAAATTTAGATAGAAGACGAGAGTTTTAGAGAGAGAAAAAAAACAGAGAAGAAGTGAGAAGAAGAGTTAGAGACGGTGGTACACCGTCTCATCTCATGCCATGTATATATATATATTTTTTCTTTTATTTAATTATATATATATATATATATAATTTAATCATTTGATGATTTTAACCCTAGTATAGATTTTTAACTTTATGTTAATATATGTATAAACTCAACTTTTGATACAAAACTAGTTTGAGGTACAAGTTGGTTAAACATGCGGTACAAATATGTAATGCACAATTCTACCAAAAATTCACTTAACCAAATTTGTACGAGTTAACAGAACACTGCTATTATATACGGGGTGGGACGGAGGATACGCTACTCGGTCCCGACCCTAACCCCATTTTAAGTCTATCAGGGATCCCCGACCCAGGACCATTTTTAACGTGAAATCCTTGTCCTCGTTTGGGTCGGGTAAGTAAGATTCACCACTAGGTCGGGCCAAATCACCATCCCTAGCCCCATGTTGTCCAGGAGATCATGTCTGTATTTAGGTCTTCCTTTCTTGGTATGTGGTATCGTTGGAAGAAAGTCCCTCAAGATGACCGTAACTTGATATTCCAGCGCTTTTGGGTTGGTGTACATGAATCCCTTTTAATATAATTGTACATATCAAATTATTGTTTTTTTACTTTGATACAAATCTTGTGTAATTAGGGTAAGTTCCAGTGGGAACCAGAGCTGGATGATGTGGTTCTTGATTTATGGACCAAAGACATGGATAATAGGTACTCAAGACTGCACGTGAATCGGCTGCGGCGCAGGCCTATCCCAATTGGCAGAGGGATTAGAATGGTGAGGAGTTCTCACACATTAGATTACACCACCCTTCGTGGATCCTAGAGAGGTATTGGGTCCAGATGATTGACGAGGTAACTTTATTGTGAGTTTTATGCATTGCCCTGTGTTTTGTACTGACTTATGTGTTATGTTTTTTTACATATGTGGAATAGTGAACCGTGGAAAAAGACTTCTAAGGCTAATAAGGCCAATAAGAGGACTAAGTTTGAGTGGGTGTCTTCTAGGCACAGTGGGGGATCGATCACTACTACACAACATCGACAGAAGATGGTGGTATACAATTGTTTTTTGAATATATAAATAATTATGTAGGTTTACTAACAACTTAACTTCATTGTCTAATGTAGGCACAAATATTGGGTCCCGAGCCGGCAACTACTGAGGTGTTTGAATGTATCTATTGCACGAATTGTAAGGTCATTTCGGGTTCGTCCAACCCGCTTACTGATCCTCATCAGTTCATTTACTCCAAAGGGGCTAGATCATATATAAGTTTTCTAAAATCATTACTTTGTTTATAGATACGTTTGGTAGATTTAAAGTAATATATTTTAATAAACGTAGTGATGCTATTAGTTTGGGTTGCCACTGTTGGGCAAGCGTTAGACTAAGTAGATAGGTTGGTTGAGAATGCCACTACCTTTGGTAATTATAATGCTTTAATTGTTAAAAGAAGACATTGGATATGTTTGATTTACAACCTTTATGCTGCTGAAATGTCTACATATAAAAGCTCACTCGTTTTTGGTTTGGTAAATCATAGGAGCGATTTCGGGAGCTTAAGATGCATCACAATCTAGTCCAGACCTCAACACCCCTCCCCCTGATGAGACATCTATTTGGGAGCACAGTGTTGGAGGATGTAAGAATGAACGTGTTTTTGGTTTTGGGACCTCCCAGGATCCCTGTTATGCTATGACCAATCAATGTAGCAGTAACAATGAGAGATCATTTGTTACTAGATTAGCAGCGGAGGTACGTTGGAAATATTGTTATGTACATTGTCATAAGTTTTCAATGCAAACAATTACTGAATTTTTGTCAAATATCAAATATTTATAGGTAGCGGAATTGAGAGAGAAGATGACAAAGATAGAGGAGGAGGCGCAGCTGAGGGAAGAACGTCGTCAGGCCGAACGAAAGTATAGTGCAGATCTGGATGCCCAATGGGCCAGACAAGCTGTCTAGTTAGCCGAACATATCAAATTATCAGAGAATTTTGCTACGTTTATACGGCAAGCAAGATACACTCTCCCCCTCTCGATAATTAGATTTTACCTAACTAACTCCTGAACATTAGATTGTATGAATTTGGTATTTAAATTGTATGAATTGGTTATTTTTAATTTGTTGAACAATTTAGGTTTATTATTTTATGGGCAACTTTTGTGTAGAAAATAAATGAAATATAGAATTTTAAATTTTTTTTTTAAAAAAGTTACTAAAATTTAGCGACAAAAATCTGTCACTAAAAGTTGGTTGGTCCGTTGCTAATCCGTCACTAAAAGTCCTTCATTGATCTGTCGCTAAATGGCTTCTTTGCTGATTTGTCGCTAAAAGCTCCCGTTGCTGATCCGTCACTATAAGTTTTCGTCCCTAATCCATTGCTGAAAGGTATCCCTAGCTGATAAGTGGCGTCACTAATCTGTTGCTAAAGGTGCCGTCACTGATAGCATCACCCACGACTTTTTGGCCCACGGACTATCAACGACAAATCAATTGCCCATGGACTATCAACGACGAATCAATGACACATCCGATCATTAGCAACGTTTTTTTCCGTCACTAGTAGTCCTTAGTTTTGTTGTGATAACTTTTATTCTCAGCGGAACCCAACCATTATATAGGTTTGGGTTCCGGTGAAAAGAGAAGTTATGATAAGAAACATAAGAAAAGATTCACCATTGGATCAATCATAATTGAATGTACTAATGAGTTGCACCAAGATGCACCAGACTAATTCATTTTCTTAGATGCAATTCATAGGTGGACATAAGATTAAAAAAAGTCAAGAGTTCAGATATCTTCTTACGCTTCTCAACTTAACTCTTCTTTTCACACTATCCTTCACCATAATTTTAATTAAATAATAAGTAATATAACCAATTAAAATGTAAAATTATTATATAACAAAAAATTGTATATTGCTATTATCTATCTTCCTAAAACATGTTTTAGGTAAATAATTTTGTCCTCAAGTAAATATGTTGATATAATTTTTTGTAATTATTCCTCATTTTAAATAAATCTTTTACTATGATTCCCTTCCTATCTTAACCCAAAAAGCTCTCTGATTCTATTGTTTGCTAAAACATATCCAAGATCTTCTCCCAACTTCATTACTTTATTAAGATTTTGTAGTTTAAATAATTAATTTATAAATATTTTCTTAAAATATTAAAAAAAGAATTAAAATGATACTTTACATGTAGTGGTAGATTGACCTACATTTTATTAGACACGTGGAGCCATACCGAAGTTAAAACGGTTGGTAAGATATTTCTAATAATTTATTTATAAAATATCTAAATTTATATATTAGGTCAAAATAATTTTTTTTGCTGTAAAATACGTATATCAGATTTAAGTACATGCACATGTATATGTATATTTAAGATTTGAGTTTCGGTGAAAATGAAAATTATGATCAGAAGGGTAAGAAGCGATTTCCATCATTGGATCAATCATAATTGAAGAGAAACACTAAATTAACACTAATAAGATTCATCGGATCAGTTCTCTTCTAAAACGTAATTTAATGGTTGGTTTGAGATTAAAAGTGATCAAGAATCCAGATCTTTTCTTATACTTCTCACTTTAACTCATATTCTTATACGATTCTTCGTATGTCCTGCTGTACATGCATACTTACATACACATACAATGATACATATATATACATGTATGTATGTGTTATGACGATCAAAAGTCCTTATAAAAATCTGTTATAAATTAAGATTTGATTCTGAGGACTAAAATATGAGATTGGTTGCAAATCTAAGGACTAAAAATGTAGTTTACTATTTGAGAGAAATAGAGAAATCGGGTACATGGCTAATCCTGAAACTGCGCACCACCGTATCAGAACCCTCGTCAGTTACTAGACACGTTGCAGATTCAGCCCAGCTGAGCATCCTGCACAGCGGTCATTCTCCACCTATATATACTTCACCTTACCCGTTTCAGCTTCTCAACATCTTCATCATCCGTTACTCTCTCTCTCTCTAGAAACCATTGGAGATCTGTTTCTCTCACGTTTTCAGAGAAAAAAACACACTAATCAGAGCAGTTGAATGGATTATGACTCGTCCGTACAGATTCCTATCGACCGCCGGTAACTCATCGTCGAAGGCGGTGCCGGAATCGCCTGAGGAAGTCTCTGTGGAGTCAGATTTCGTTGTTATTTTTGCTGCTCTACTATGTGCTCTGGTTTGTATTATAGGTTTGATAGTTATAGCGCGATGCGCTTGGCTACGACGGGGATCTATCGCCAATAGAGTACCTGGCCAACCGTCGGCTAATAAAGGAATTAAGAAGAAGTTCGTTGATGCGCTCCCGAAGTTCACGTATGATTCGGCAAAGGACAATAACGGCGGAAAGCTTTCGTCTCGTGATTGTGCGATCTGTTTGGCTGAGTACGCAGACGGAGATGAGATCCGCCTGCTGCCACAGTGCGGACACGGATTTCACGTCGGATGTATTGATAAGTGGCTTGGTTCCCACTCGTCTTGTCCGTCGTGTCGACGGATTTTGGTAATCACTAGGTCTAGGTGTAAGAAGTGCGGCGAGTTCTCGACAATTTCAGCCGGAACGATGACGTTGGTGGCGGAACATGAAGGTAGGCAACATAATGTTAGTACTAGTTCATGTAGTAGTTAAATCAACCACGATAATTTTATAAATTCGTTATCACTGATGCCTAGTACTTAATCGAACAACCAGAAGGTGCTCAAGTCCCGTGATACCTTAACATCCAGCGGTGGGATAATTGTCATTTAATTTAGTGGTTTTTGTATTGTATCTACTATCTACGTATAGTGGCTTCAGAAACTAGAAATAGCGAGATATGTTATTTTATTATGTTGATGAAGTCTCTTCCTTATCTTATCCTCTTGGATCTCCCTGTAGCTTTTGGTTATTCATGTAAAAAACAAGTTAAGCAACACAAGTTACCATTATCCCAATGTTACTTATTCTGTTTTCTTATTTAACTATTCAATTGAGATGGTATTTGGGCAATTGGAACTAGAATTCGAATAATTTCAAAATTTTTAATTGTGATTTAAGTTCAGTTTTAGTAACAATAATTAGAGCTTGAAACATTATTACATAATCTTGGGAAATTTGTACCAGAAAGTGGAGGTTTTCAAAATTCAATCATTAATAGACCAAGGAAGATGCAAAAGAGAGCAAGTAACCTTCCAGCCATCTTGTCGGCTATTTAATAGGTTGGTGAGGAAGGAGTTCGCTAGCGTCATGCCAATGCATACACACCTTGTGACCCGATCACTCTTGTTTTGTTAGTTTACATATTTTTTTTAAAATTAAATAATTATGTTAGTTATATATTAAATCAAACTTTATACTTTAATTAATGGGAAAAAGTTGGGAAAAAATTCAACAAACTATTATATTTTTAATGATTAATTTTCTAAACAATTTATTTAAACAAATAAGTACTTACATTTTTTGAAAAGAAACAAACAAATCTTTGAGCTTATTACCTCATATCTGATACAGATCTCGTTTGACGATCAAGTTTTTCGAAGATTTATCTCTGTTTCAATTAGGGTTTTCTGCATCAGATTGAAGATTTATATCAATTTCAGATTGAAGATTTCGATTCTCTTTCTCACATCGATTTGTTTATTTCCTCTGATTTTCACATAAGTAACATTCCCGTTCCGATTTTTGTTATACTCGGTTAAGGTTTTCTGATGAAGAAAGAAACAAGAGATAGTTTCTCTTCTACTTGGTTAGGGTTTTTTGAAAGAGAAATCAGGGATGCTATGTGCTGTTAGTAGCTTGGAGATGAAGATACGCTTTTTATGATAAAGAATGTCTTGTTTGATGATATCTTCATCAAACAAACATCAACAATATAAAGAAATATAAAATAATGTAATGCATGCATTCATTCCTATTTCTTCCATTTTCATTCTTATTTCTTAAAATAATCAAGCGCACTCTAAAAAACGAAGAAATATGTCATGTAAAACAGTACAAGAAACCAATATAACGGGAAAAAGTACACAATATTTATGAATCTTTATTTATTTTTTTCAGATTCAAATGACAATCAAAGATGTTTGTTATGATCATGTGATCATCATTTAAAATCTAAAAATTAAATAATCATCACCTTCCTTTATGGTGTTTAATCATTCTTTCTTATCGGTTTATTGTACATTTATATGGATATATTGATAAATGAAAATTTTATTTGTTAAAAAAATTTCAAGAACTTAATCACTAAACATATGAAAGTTTGTTAGGTTTTTTTTTGAACTTTTGACTTAATTAATTAAACGTTAGTCATAAATATATGTACCATTTATTATATAGGGTTGGGTTCACGTGAGACCAATGGTTTTTCGTGAGACCAGTAAGACCAATTTATGTTCATTGATTAACTTGATAAACTAACGATCTAATGGTCTACAATTCACAGTGGCAATTTTGTAATTATTGAGAAGTCTCGTGGCGTTTATGAATGTTTAAATCTAACGATTGTAGATCTAATCCAAGGGTTGAGAATTGGTCTTACGGGTCTCACGAAAAACCATTGGTCTCACATGATCCCAAGTCTTATTATATATATTTATTTGTATATAACAATTATCCCAATATTTGTGTATCTTATTTTATAATTGTTTGAAAATTAAGTAAATAACAAACATTGCTTAGAGGTTGTTTATTTGCGGCTTAATTAGGCTCATTGGTTTATCTGCCTTATTCGCACAGCTCATTTGGTTGTTTACTCACGGCTTATTCACACAGAACATGACTTAACCGCACAAATATAAATGATGTGTTGTCCCCATTCAGCCACAAAAATGACACCCCTACCCTTATTTAAAGCACCGCCTCCTTCCCATATATGACATCCCATCTTCGGCATCTTTATAACTTTTTGTTTTGATGTTCAAATAATTAATATTGGGGGTAAATCGGTCATTTATGTTATTCAGACTGTTGGTTCAGATAAAAAAAAGAGTAAACAACAACACCCATTTATCCAGACAGACAAATTTATCCGAACAGACAAATTTATTCATACAGGACTTAATAAAAATTTTTGGTAAACAGCCCCTTAGTTGTTAAACGAATAAGCCACTAAAACCTAAATTTATCACTATCGATGTTACTATCCCGACAAGTACATACACTTGACGTTTATAGACCTCCAAAGTCCAACCCATGATTAATGATTCATAGAACTAACCGATCATAATCAACTCTCTGAAATTGGTTTAATATATATGATAGCATATATAAATATGTTATGTTTGATAAACTAACTGATAAACTAATCATATTTGACAAAACCTAACAGATAAGCTAGTTGAAAAATGTAAAATAATTACAAAGTATGTGTTAAAAAGTTAGTCAATTTTCATATTACATAATATAGTTACAATAAATCAGTAATAATATAATATTAATTAATAAACCTTCAATTCTATGTAATCACGTACTAATTTTGGACAAAAATATATCAATTCATGATTTTAGATAACTGTTACACTTGATATGAATAAAGTCAAATCAAACATACATATTTTAATTAATTAATAGTTCAAAGTTAAATATTTTCTTAAAACCATTATTGAAATTTTATTATTTATAAAATAAAAGACTTAAAACTTTGATATTTATGCAATTTACCCAAACATCTTTTAAAAATGTTGTATTTGATTTTTGACCGACTAAATATATTGAATAATTATAATATAAAACAATTAATATGATCAATAATAATTCTTAAAAATTAATAATTAAGTTTAAATAATACTTACACTTGATATTAATTTGTAATAAATAATAATTAATGGAATAATAATTAGCGGCATAATTATGAAATAGTGTAAATATTGAAATGCTAATCTAAGTAGTGTTTTAACAAAACCATTTTCAACCTAGCCACAAAAAACGTCACTAAAATTTGTGGGTCCATTGAACATTAAGGGGGTGTTTGGTTCACATAATGTTTTTTGAAGGAATGAAATATGCCAAAAGAATTGGAATCCGAAGATAGATTGTCGGTGATTTTAGTGAAATTATCGTTTATTTTATGTAATTGGATTAACAAGAGAATATGTGGTTGTTAGATAAGTTATAACACGGGCTAGGGGTGTGGAGTACACACGTCATATAAGCTAACTAAAAACTGAGATTGTTGGATGGTTTTGTACAGGGAAGGTTTAAGTGGCAGAGGGCAGTGCATAGGTCGTGTGTTTTTTAGTCATCAAAAGAATACAGATCGTGCTTGGAAACAAAAGGTTATGCACGAGCCGTGCGTTTTTACACATAGAAAACAAATGAGCCAAGCGTTTTTGTCAAAACACTATCAGCTCCAACTCAATATAGCTGATGGTACACTAGTTAGTTGATCGCTCTATTATGTTTAGCTACCTGATGGGTCTATTAGCTAAAGGTTCAATTAGATGATGACAATTATGTTCAGTTGCTGGTGGTTTTCTCGTGTTGTATTCAGGTTAGGGATGAAAACAAGACGGGTATTGGACGGGTAATGCATCCCCCATCCCTGACCCCGGCCCCGTTTAAGCCCCTCACCCCTAATCCCAATAATCCCTGACGGGTTGGGGGAAAGGAATCCACGACGGGTTCGGGGAAGCCGTTGGGAATCAATTTAGTAAAGAACAATCTATTTTAATATTAAACTTATAATGAATCGTCACTATATTAATTACCAATATTAAAAATCAAAGCATATTTGTCATTTCATAGTAAATGTATACATATATAATTATAATTTTATTTATAAACACTATATACATATATTAATTAAAATAAAAAAAATTAATCGGGGTCGGATTAAGGCAGGTAATGTCACCCCGACCCCGCTTCGGTATGAAAATAAATCCTTGTCCCTGTCCGTTAACTTTCAAATCAGGGAATCCACGCCCGAGTACCCACCCCAACGGGTAAATTTTCCATCTCTTGTTTAGGTAGCTGATGGTTCACTAGTGTTCAGCCTTACTAATGTTCACTAGTGTTCAACTAGTTGAATCTAGCTGATGATTGGCCTCTAAGTTAGACTTCCTTATCTGTAACCACTCACTCCTAATTTCCAACAATCATTCACATTGAATGAAGAGTTATTCTCGGCATTAATATATGAGCGATTATGATTCTATAAGTTTAAATGGAAATGATTTCTGCCATAATCGTGACCAAGAAATTTGAGATTATTTTCGAGTGAATTTCATGATATTCAGGCAATGTAGGGTCAAAATATCACTTAAGGAAAACGACCTCTCACATCTCAAGTTTTATCGAAGTTCTATAATTGTTGTTTTATCACAATTTTCTAGAATTCCCCCAAAATCTTAAGTAATATTTGTTCTTTATGTGAAATATGGCAAGTGAACAATCTGTGAGAGACATGATGTCCAAATTTACGAAACTGGAGAAGTGTGAAGGCGTGGATTTTCGATGATGACAGAAGAAGATGCACTTTCTTCTAACCATTCTGAAAGTGGTGTACGTGGTGAGTACTTTGATGTCGGAGGTGATGGAAGACGAGACATTGGAGGTGACTCAGCGTCGAGACAAATGGGAGACCGACGACTACATCTATCGTGACCATATTCTAAACGATATATCTGACTTTCTCTTTGACATTTATCAAAATGTCAAGTCTACCAAAGAGCTGTGGGACTCTATTGAATCCAAATACATGGTCGAGGATGCTTTTAGTATAAAGTTATTCGTTAGTAATTTAATAATAAAAAAAATAGTGTACTCAAGGCCTATGATGGAGAAGTACAATGAGCTCCTGCGCATTCTTGGGCAATATGCTCAACACAATATGAAGATGGATGAATCCATCTCCATATCGCGAGCATAATTGATAAAACAACCCTCTTGGAAAGATTTTAAATACATGTTGAAACACAAGAAGGAAGAGTTGTCTCTTATACAACTTGGTTGT